ACAGACAGCCTATGGCGTGTAAAAAATTGCAATATTATACTTTTTTGTTATTCTTATTCAAAGATTTATTATTCTTATTCTAAAACATATCATTCCTATTCGATTGATTGATTGTATGTTGTTTTACGTTCCGTTCGAGAATTTTTCACTCCTATAGAGACGTCATCATATACCGGTGGAGGGCTTCAGATTTCGACCTATACTCGGCACTCAGGGCATTGAACAGTGAAGGTCCTTTATCGTGCCAACGCCTACCGTGACACGGGACCTCTAATTTTAAGGTCTGATCCGAGAGACCCGCAACTTTCACTTCAAAGTGAGGGATGGTTGGCAAAGGAACAGTTGCTACCTATTTTTATCGACTTAAGTCAGTCGCAGAAGTGATTCGAACACACAACCCGAGCTACCGTGACGGCCTCATTCCTATTCGAAAAAAATGTGATTTTTATTCGATAATTTATCATTTCATTTCTATTCGTTTAATTATTATTCGTATTGGAAGAAATATGATACCTATTTCAAAATATATCGTTCGAAAACGTGAGTTTCCTATTCGTTATTATGTCAATCAAATTCGAAACATGTGATTCCTATTCCATAATTTTGTCATTCCTTTAATTTTCGATAATTAAGGTCTTCCGTTCCAACGGAAGACCTTCTACTGATTCTGATGGTTAAGATTATTATTCTTTTTTTTTCTTCTCCTTTCTAGACGCCAACTTTGAGACCTCATAGCTCGCTCACTTCTCAACGGATTATGCTCAAATTTTCAGCATTTATAGACGTTAAAAATCTCTAGCAGAATGCTATCATACATTAAAAAGTCCCCTTCCGCTTTGGAATTATTTCTCTTTAAATGAAAATTTAGGGGGGTTCGTTTCGAGACAAAGGCTCAGAGACTAAAAAAGCTGGAGCAGAAATACTACTGAATTTGAATAATGGAAGCACTGAAGTTGTGCACATCTATTTTTGTTTTTTGATTTCTGCGTTCAAAATGGCACTAGATAGGGGTCAAAAATTAGAACGCCTAAAAGCGCGAAAATTTACACATATTTTCCTATGTATCCTTTAAACTAAAAATATTTTGTTAAGACATGTTGAATAAAAGTTGTGCACAATTTGAAGGTCTTTCATTTGGCACCAACAAAAAGGGGCTGGTCCCTTAAATTAGGGATCTACGGTCCTTGAAAGTTTTCGTTTTATAACTCAAAAACGGTAAATATTTCGATATAGCTGTCGCTTAAAAGTTGTTCTTTAACATATTATTGATCTCATGAACTTGTTATTTTCTTCGAGTCTTGTTTAATAAATGAGCTAGAAGCTTGACCCGTATACAGGTAACTAGTTTCTTTAGACTACTGAAGGTGAAATCTTTATGCGCGTAACTGAAATAAAATTGCTATAATTGATAAACCTATCCAAAATAAATACTAATATTACTTTGAAATAAGTTTTTACGTGTTCTATGGCTTCATTCCAAATTATTGAGTCACACATTTTCAATACGTCTCGGGATTTGTTTTTGTTTATTATTACGTAACCGGCCATCCCCCGATCACGCGTGACCTAGATCCAGTGATCAGTGGCCATAGACTAAACAGGCATTGTCGTTCTAAATCTATTTTGCAAACTCAACGATGCACGGATAATTGTGTTTTTTAATAATATCAGATCTTTCAAATTATCTCATCTTATCTATGTTGGTCAAGTAGGTGATATACTTATTAAATTATTATTGTGGCGGAAATCACAAGAGATCCATTGCGTGTGAACCAGCGACCTGCGTTCGTAAACAAAGCATCTTTTCGTCGTTTAATGTTGAAACATACACTATATTAAATTCTTAAAAGTTAGCAAAAAATAAATCAGTCTTTTACTGCATTTAACCGCATTTCACATGCATCCCGGGTTTTGTGTTTGTTTACTATTATGTAACCTTTCCCTGGATAGCATATGGCCGAGGAAGCAGCTATTAGTGCTCAAACACAAAACATTGTCGTTCAATATTCATTTTGCTAGCACAATGATTTACGGAAAATTATTTTTTAAATCATATCGGATCATTCAATTAAATCATTTAATCTTATCTTAATTTGATTTAATTTAAATCCAAAACATTTTATTAAGGGCGTATAAAATGAATCCTAATCTTAAAACTGCATACATGTACATGTATTTAATAAACGAGTTATTTCTCAATTATGTGTTATTGTGTGTTTAATTTCGGAGATTCATTGCGTGTGGTTAATTCTGCAGATAATTCTAACTTGACACTTAAGGTTTGTAGACAAAGAATTCAAAAGAGATATATTTTGAAAACAATAAGACGCATTGTTTAACACTCTTACAGATATTTTCATTAGAAAATGGCTATCTTTATGATTACACCAGCTCTGAACATGCTATGTGAAAAACTCTGTCAACTATAGTTTTGTAACTCCAGCATATGGCAAGTACGTGTGCTTTTATTAAACACCCAATTTTCCATTAGCGCCCACAAAATCTACCTAGCTAAAGATCGATAATATACCGCCCGTCAATCATACAAAAATAAAACAATAGCTGCTGATTTGATTGACATCAACCTGTGCTACCCGATATTCTGAGTTTGCATGCTTTGAAAGCGATTACATGTACCTGGTCACGTGTCAAAGCTTTCATGTACCGCTTGAAAAGTCGCTTTGTATACACTCTGGTAAAAAAAAAACAACTTATATATTGGTTGGTAATTATATTTAAAAAAATAATTGAGATAAGAGAATTAAACTTTGAGTTCATTATCTTTATTTTCACTGCTGTTTTGTACACTGTACTTGTACGCGATATGTCGTCTCCAAGATCACCACTACCAATGTGTTCGGATGATATTCTTTATCGTTGTTAAGTGTAGCATAACATCCGAGGGCGCGATTTGACCTCTAACGAGACCAGCCTTGAGACTATACGAGATCTGCACCAGTTCCTGTAAGATTTAGACAGGAACTGGATGTGTGGTTTTGGATTTATGCGTTTAACGTAAGTATAGCTCATTTTATTTATCTTTAATCACTTTAACATTCTTTTGCCGCATAAAAATTGATTCATTTAGTCTTTATTTCTCGCATTCTATCGCCTCAAACACTTGAAGTGAGAAACGTTAAATCAGATACATTTAGAGTTATCGTCCTTTGTTTACATGCCTCCACGTGGTGGAAGAATAAAAATCTTTTTGAGCTATAAAAATATATAGGGCTTTTCAATGTTTTTAAAATATTATACTAAAATAATTGATGATGTTCTATGTGTTGTGAAATATTTTACCACAGTATTGAAAAAGGGAAAACTGATTCAATGTGCAGAAAATGTTATAGTCTGTTTTAATTTTTGCAACAACTGATACACACAGTTATACTGGTAAATGCAATTTCTCAGTTGATTGCATGTAATATGAATAACAGTGTAAAAAAATGCTTAAATGAATACAAAATGAGTGTTATGTACATTAGAAATTGAAAGAAGTGGCCAATGTTAACATCTCTGTCAAGTGATCAGCTGGTGAACACACATTAATACGCACTGGTCTCTCTCTCTCTCAAAAATTAAATATAAAATAAATGAAGAATTATATAGTAACATTTTAGTTGCTTAGCTAAAGCTTACTCCAGACTATGCCCACTTGTCCACATGATATTCAGCAGAGAGACATCATAATGCAGTGAACATTATAAATTTATTGACTCATGATTGTGTTCTCGGGCAAAATGTATTTTGTCGACCCTCGAACCAAACTGTTTGCCTGAGACCATTAGGCTGAAGGCAGACAGTTTGGTTTGAGGGTCGACGAAATGCATTCTGCCTGAGAACACAGTCAATAATTATAATGTTTTGTTATACCCTTTATTTTATTAACATGTAACTTATTCTGGCTTCTATGATGTAATTTTCCTTTACCCGCACTGCAGTTTAACTTGGCCTATTTCATCTCTGTCAAACACCAACAACTGCAAATGAGAGTTATCTGACACATCAGTCGAATATTTAATCGTTAGGTCCAATATCTCACTCTGCGGTCAAACATCGATTTTCGACAGACTGCTCAATAAAACATTGAAAATGTTAGACTTTTTTAGGATGAATTTATATAGTAAATAATTTCTAAAGGTATATAACAAAAATGTGATAAAGCCTGGTAAACTCAAAACTAGATCATAATGACTCTCATATTTTAAAGAATTAAAGATTCATATTCTAATTAATTCATGTATTATTGTTATCAAATTTATTTCTAAACCTGAAACATTTTGCAGACATTGTGCTTTAAATACCGGGAGACGATAACGTCATATGCAAAAGGTGAAGATAACGAACAGGATTCGATCTCAAATATATCTCACATATAATATAAAACTGCTTTTCTGCAGATTTGCAAATTAATGACTGTTTTTTTTTTTCAACTGGGTATCGTTTAACTGTGTTTTAGGTTAATAAAACTAAAATTTGTTTTCGATTTTGACTTCCTCTTATGCAGTAAGATGAATAAATTTGGCAACTTGTTCTTGTATTTCCGACCAAATTACAACAAAGAGTAAGTTTTTAAAATTTCCTTGAATGCAGACATGAATTTTGTCGAAGTTCACCTGCTGCCTAAAGTTTCTTGAAGACAAATCAATCGGATCCCTGTTCTTCTTTCTCAGAAACGTGCATCTGATTCTCAAATGAATAGCATTTTTTTATCTTAAAGATTTGACACGATACATTATCTTACTTTTGTTGTACATAGTACGTAGGCATATTTCATGAAGCACGCTAGTTTAAAAGCACCAATTATATACTCAATATTTTGTATATTTATATATATTTGATTAATCTTATTATGAAAAATCGTTCATTGATAAGATATTGATAAGAATTGTTATTATTCTTATTTGTTCACCTTATGCTTCCAGCCTCAAATCACTGTTCCATCTCTTCAACACTTCCTTAGTGAACTAGAGATGGAGCATATTTTCTTACTCTTGTAGAAGAGAGGATTCTACATTGAAATAGGTTCGGATGGAGAGGATGGTTCTGTGTCCCTTTTCTCTGAGAGGTCGAGGGAATGGGATGGTCTTCTTATTGAATCTCATCCTGGACGTTACAGACAACTACGTCAAAAACACAGAAAAGCCTTAACATTAAGAGCATGCGTCAGAGTATGTGACCGAACATTAACTGCCATCATCAAATAATATCTTCTTATTTCGATTTTTTAAAACTCATATTTGAAAATAATTTCAGAGGAATCGTTTTATGATTTGTTTTATGATTGGGATGCTCACTCCTCCATGGCACCTGATCCCACCTCTGATGTTTTAGAGGTCCGTGTTTGCTCTGTTGTAAAATTTACATTGTTTAATAGACTTTTAAGCTTGAATTCTGTTCGATATCTCCATATATTTCATTGACTCTGAACCTTATTTTCTAAACTTCAAATTGAGACATAAACCGAAAGCTGGATACTTGTCCAAAATTTTCTCCTCACCCTTGGGTCGTTAAGAGATTTATTCCTTTTATATTTTAGCCAACAATTTAAAGACAAAACTGTTAATTACTGATTTTATAAATTCTGTAGTATACATGTTTACATTTACCTCTATAATGTTTACAATATTACATCTTAGAGTAATTCAAGTAAACATGAAAAAAAAATTCGAAGACGCCATTGAAGGACACGTGAAAATTCCATGTCTGTGGTTGGAATCCATACTGAATGCACTGGATAAAAATACAGTTGATCTGCTCAGTGTAGATGCCAGAGACCAGGAAATGGAACTTCTTAAAGCTATACCTTTATCTAAGTATGCCGTAAATGTGATCACGGTGGAATTTGTAGAAGGATCGGGTAGTGACCTCTCTGTGATGAGATATTTGCTGGATCATGGCTACCATGCTAATCATCAGTTTGTCAATCATCCCTTAAATAGAAATGACATGGTGTTTACCAGAAAAAAATCAAGCTAGAAAAAAAAATCAGTATGAATCATTTAGAAGAATGAACAATACCTGCAAATTTCTGAATAAAAGGAAGGTTTAAATGGACACGTGAATGTCTCATACTTAGTTAACTGCTTTGCCAAGCTATGAGTTTTATCATATGCTTAATTTTGTATTTTATGAATTTTAGACTACAATACGATAATTTCATATACAATATTTCATATAATTTAACTTTTATGTATATCATATGTGTAGAACATGTTTATGAGCATAAGTTTGGATCATGTAAAATTGCATTTTCAATATAATCAGAAAAAAAACTGCAAAGAAAAAATATAACTTCTAAATACATGATTGTATTTTTGTAGTCAATTTTTAAACATTGTTATATTCCAGCGTACTACATGTACTTGAAAATATTTCAAACAAAATGGAATCTAAAATTTGCTTTATTTCTGCAAATGAAAGTATATGTATACACTAACAAGTATTATAAAGAATCTACTCGGTATTATGTTTAAAAAGATTTGAACAAAGTATTAATTAAAGTCACAGAGAACCATGAGAAATATTTAAAGAAACATGGAAAATAATTTTCTGGAAACGAATGGGAAATATTCTTTTTACAACACTTCTGCAATCATTCAGACTCGCAGTTTAAACTTCCATATTTATTCTTTTTTGAAATTTTGTATTTTTGCAATTTGAAATGTATTTAAAATATTAATGAAATATGCTTGTATGAAAGAAAAAGTCGTGGTATGATCGTTAGGTATATAAAGGTTCCATAACCAGTACGAGTTATACATATAATAGTAACTAGTTTTTCTCAGCTCGAAGTCATCAAGCGACACGAGACTTACTGACTGTCTCTTGAAAACAATTAAAAAAGAAAAAAAAAATAAGGAACACGAGTTCGAGAAAAAACCGGCTACTAACGAGCATTGGTTATTGGGCCTGTTACTCCAATTAAACAAACACACATGTAGACTTGTTTTAGTGAAATTAACATTGCCTATTTAGTTTGTATGAGATTACATCCTTGGCAATATACCTTGATGATCTGTTGAATGAAATATACAAGTGAAAAGTTCAAAGAATAAAAAGAATAATGGTAGATATTAACAATTATACACTGTACCTGCATTTTGTGCCATCATAGGCATGTACGTGGAGATGAAGTCCCAGGAAAAGCGGTCAATTTTTACTAGGTGTTTTCTAACATGCTAGAGAACCGAAAAAGAACCACTACACGGGAGGAATGAACCATATAGCGGTAATGGGAGAACCTACATTTAATCTTTCAAAAAATCTATTACCAAGGTTTCTCTATTTCTGCATCGTTTATTTGAAAAAAGTTTAATATCCGTTGTGACATATGATCATAATTATCTCTTGCCAGTCTTGGTAAGGGATTTGATAAATTATCAGGAAGTAGGTTTTCATTACATAATTTATTAAGAATGACTTTTAAAAACGGAGAGGTTGTACTAAAATTGATATCACCTACCTAAAACCTTTACATATTGGTATATTCATCGTCCTTAAAGATTAAAAAATGCTAAATTTTATGTTCAATCACTTTCTTAATTACTTCCAACTTGAACTTAGTTTCTTATGAAATAGATGAAGATAACGAACGGTGATCGATCTCAAAATACCTACAAACAATATAAATTTGTGAACAAAGCATAAAACAATACCCTCTAGAAATTCCGGAGGTTTGGCCAGAGGCCTAGGAGGAGTAAAAATATGCCGCTGACCGGTCACACCCGTCGTGAGCCCTGTGTGTTGATCAGGTAGAAGGAATATAAATCCAAATTGATGACAAAAACGTGTCATTCATCGATAGGCTTAAATCGTTGCCTGTATGAGTAGCCGATGTAAAATTTATATTTTGCTGAAATATACATTTGCTGCTCATAAAAACATATTTTTACCTTGTTGTCTTAAAATATAAATGAATAATAAGAAGTATTTGCATTTATTGATGGTCAGTTAGTTTGAAACAAAATCCTTAGAAAGCCTACAAGAAGAATCCGATTAATCTTCATAAATATGAAAACATTAAAAAAAAATGATTATGAAAATCCATCATAAGTTATAAATCCTAAAAGAAAATCGAAAGCATGATATAATTTTCAAGAAAATGACTGTTAAGTTATGTGCATGTTGTATGCATGTAATTTTTGGGGTTGGAAAAAATACTCTTCTTGAAGTCCATATTTTGATTCCCTTATAGGTTGGATACAACGTGTGTGTGTGTGTGTGAGGGTCTGTGTGTGTGTGTAAAAATGTGACTACTTTCAACATGTATTTCATTAAAATATATTTTTGCTTATACGTTGGGAAATGATTATTCATAATTTACTTACAAATTCTTAAACCAACCTGGGAATGTGATTTTTTTTGATGTTCTCATGAGGAAAAAAAAAACAAAAGACTAGGAAAAGGTTGATATATTGCTTCCGTCACATACAGTAACATTCTATTTGTGTAGAATTTGTGATTAATATTAATGCAGCTCTTCGTGTATCAAAGGCTTTGAAAATCCTTAAGAATTGATTTCATTACTTTATTCTGACCATTCTTTGCAAAGCATACTCGGTATTAGAAATGATTCTTAAACTTTGATGTTGTTTTCCTAATAAAATAAAAAATTATTTGAAATTCAAATAGCACTTTCTAAAGTTTTTCATGCAGAAACAATTCTTTATACATTATGTATCTTAGTAGGATATTTCAATTAGAAGTAAGAAGAAGGTTTCGGCACGTCTACATTTCTTCAAATCAATACAAGACAACAGACGAAGCGCAAGCAACCGATATAACATCGGATGAAATCAGTAAAATGCTCTTGAAGAAATCAACTTTAACATTCTTTATTCTGAACTGGTTTATTTTAAGTTCTGGATTTAGAATTTCATCATATTTTAGATTTCGTGACGATTTAAATGATGTAAAATTCCAGCATGCTCTCTTGCTGCAAACTCCAATACAAACGGTATCAGAATGTGCGAATTTATGTTTAATTTTGGTGAGATGTGCATCGTTCCAGATTCACGAACACCTTATGCTCTGTCGTCTCTACTGGACACACTTCTTACTTGATGTCATTGGTATTCCCTCTACTGGCTGGCAGACATTCTCAGAAACTGGCAAGCATTTTATTTTTTCCTTCTTTATATATATATAGGCTGAAAATATATTAGTGCAGTTTACGGATTGTTTGGTTGTTGTTTAACGTACCAGTAGAGAATAATTTACAAAGGTAGAGACTTCACCTGCTTAAGATGAAGTGCCAGAATAATAATTTATCTGTGCATAGCGCTTCTGATTGCTGCAATAAGGGTTCTTTATCTTGCCAATCCCTACTGTGACAAGGAACTTCTTTGTTGAGGTCATCCGAAAAAAAGCCCCAATGATTTTCACTTCTTATGCCAGGCGCTTGGCGAAGGAACAGTCACTATCTAGTTAAACGTTAAAGGTTTGACGCGAAACGAGAATCGAACCCAAAACTCCTGTCCTTGAAGCGAATCCACCCACTATAGGCTACTATGACTGCTTTACAAAAACTAAAACTGAGAGCCCTATAGAATATTGACATTGCAATAAAATAATTTCGTTTATAATGCATCTCATAGGACTGTTAAAATTCCTACGTTATAAATAGAGTACGTTGTAGTCGAAGACTGAAAGTCCAATTATATTGTCTATCTATTGTGCACACATTACGCACATTTTGTTGAATGTGATAAAAAAAACCCTGATCAAAACATAATGTATGACTCATATTTTACCGTTATCAAAGAGAACACAGTTTTGACAATTTTAATCTAAAGTACATACGCAACGTACCTTACCTACTGATAATTTTTCAAGATATTCTTAATATAAGATTATAGTGCCATCAGGTGTTCATAGACAAAAAATCAGCATGATTACCAGGGGTTTTGAAAAGATATCAATTGATGAAAATTCTTGTATAATTCAAAGAAAAACATACAAAAATTACTGAACATATATTCTAGATGTTTTGTTTATCCAAACTTGTTTTAGAAGAAGTGTACAATAGCATATATAGAAATTAAAATGAAGCACACAGTTCCTTTAAGTACTGGAACTCTTCAACTCCAGGGAAGAAGATAATAGCGTTCAAACTACGTTGCGTATGTCCTTGATCAATTTAAAAAAGAAAAACTAATTGTAACTTGTTTAGAAAAAATGTACTTTTTTGCGAGGGATACGATGTCAGAATACCAAATTTTCTTTCTTCGTTGACCGTATTGCCCGTCGGTAATGGCTTTTCTTTTCTAAAGTCCAGATTGTACTCAGTTGTTTGGGCATTCCAGAATCATCGGCAATTTGCATGTTTAATTTCATCCTGTCTTGATAGCATTTGCCATTTGTAATTTAATGTCAAATTCCAGAGACTTTCTCTTCCTAGGAGACACCACTTAAATTACATGTACTCGTGAGTACCCTGTGGAAATTGTTCCAAGTTAATTCAAAGAAGAAGGTGTGGTTTCAACAGAAATCTGGCCCGGTTTTGTGTGTGTGTGTTTTTGAAATATGAAAATGTTGTGAGAAATAAAAGCTAATGCTTTCTGATTTGTTCAATCTCAATGCAGTAAGATCATACAAATTGATTTTCTCACATGATTTCCTAAATGCCAACTGTGAAACCCTGGACTTGTGTATTTTCCTGTATTTTATTAAGAAGTTGCAGAAGACCTCAAATATTCATTTCCTTTCAGACAATATAGGCGACATGCATCGCCCACAATTTTACACACATCCGACAATTGAAGTGGGCGACAGCTGTGGACGCTATTTTTCTTAAGGAAAATAACCCAGTAAATGTGTCATTTTGAACCTTTTACTGTTTAAAACAAATTAATGTCGTCATTATTCCAAATTATGCTAAATTCTTTCAAAAATTATCACATTCATACATTCAACTTATTTAAGCAAATTTTAAAGGTTTTTGAAAATATCAAATTTTTAGGTATAATAAAGCCCAA